TTATGTTTTACCTTCAGAATACATACTGAATCTGATCACCGTTTCTGCTGCTACCACCAAGATTCAAACTGCCATTCTCTCTTTCCTGGATTATTATTACATTTAGTCTTTTGACTTATTCCCCTGCTTCTGCCCTTGTCTCTGTACATTCTGTTCTCAGTAGACATCCAGAATGATCCTCTAAAAAGTCAAATTAGATTGTCACTCCTTTGCTCAAAATCTTCCAGTGGCTTTCCATCTCAGGTGAAAGACAAAGTTCTGACAGTGGCCTAAAAGACTGTAGAGTCTGTTCTCAGTTTACCTCTTTGGCCTAATTACCTATGATCCTTTCCTCTGTTCATGTCCCTTCAGTCGCAGGGACATCTTTGCTTTTTTTCTAAGATCCAGGTTGTTCCTTCTTTAAAACCTTTATACTTCCTGTTATCTCTTCCTGAAATGCTTCTCCTGTGTTGGCAGCATGGCTTTTCCTCTTTCTTTAGGTGTAAGGCTCAGATGTCACCGTATCAATGAGGCCCTGGCTCTCTTTATCTCCTTTACCCTGCTTTATTTTTCTCCATAGCGTTTATCAGCATGCGATAGGCTGTGTGCATATGCATGTGTAATTAATTAATTTTAACTTTAAATTTTTTTGAAGGTTTTTTTTTAAGATTTTATTTATTTATTTGACACAGAGAGACACAGTGAGAGAGGGAACACAAGCAGGGGGAGTGGGAGAGGAAGAAGCAGGCTTTCCGCCAAGCAGGGAGCCCGATGCGGGGCTTGATCCCAGGACCCTGGGACCATGATCTGAGCCGAAGGCAGACGCTTAACAACTGAGCCACCCAGGCGCCCTGTTTTTGATTTTATTTGAGAGAGAGCAAGAGAGAGTGAGAGAGAGATCATGAGCATGGGGAGGGGCAGAGGGAGAGGGAGAAGCCGACTCCCTACTGAGCAGGGAGCCCGAAGTGAAGTGGGTCTCCATGCCAGGACCCCAGGATCACGACCTGAGCCAAAGGCAGACGCTCAACTGACTGAGCGACCCAGGTGCCCTTAATTTTAATTTTAAAAATTTGTTTCACTGCTGTCTCACCATAGGTGTAGAATAGAGAGTAAGCCAAAAATGACCAGCTGCCTGTTTTTGTAAATAAACTTGAATTAGAACACAGCCATGCTCCTACATTAGTATATTGTCTGTGGCTGCTTTCACACTCCCAACAGCAGAGTTGAGTATTGTGACAGAGACCATATGGCCTGTAAAGCCTACAATATTTGCTGCCTGGCCCTTTATTGAAAAATATTGTTTGCTGACCCTTGGGCTAGAACGATATCTGGCACATAGTAGGTGACTGAATGAACATAAAGTAAATGCTAAGTGGCAGGGTACAAACTATAAATTGCTAGTGAGGATATGGGTTAATATTTCAAAAGTTGTTTTTAGATTTTAATAATTAGGATAATTTGGGAATATGTCAACCGTAATAACTTATTCAAGCTGCAGTTCTTGAATTTATTGCAGGCATTACTACCTGATAACAGAGATAGGCCAACTTTTTGAAGGCTACACCTAAATTGGAGATGATAGTTTTTCAAAGGCACAAGATCCTTTTAAATATCAGCTTTTATATGGTGTTACAGAAAGAACTCTAAATAATGAGTTGGTGGTAGTTGTTGGTTGCATGCTGTGAAAAGCATGAACCTAAATAAACGTATACAGTTCTCAATCACTTATGCTAAAGGATGGACGTATAGAATAGACAATAATACATTGTGTTTGAGTTTGAATATATTTTTGGATTGCAATGGATTAGCCTCACTATTCCAGGTACTTCTTTATTATTATTTTTTTTAGAAAAAATTTTTTTTTAAGATTTATTTATTTATTTGAGAGAAAGAGTGAGAGAGAGAGAGAGAGCACATGAGAGGGGGGAGAGTCAGAGGGAGAAGCAGACTCCCTGCTGAGCAGGGAGCCTGATGCGGGACTCGATCCCGGGACTCCAGGATCATGACCTGAGCCGAAGGCAGTTGCTTAACCAACTGAGCCACCCAGGCGCCCTATTCCAGGTACTTCTGATAGTGTATTTAAGTAGCACAGTAAAATTAAACTGCAAAACCCAGCTCAGAAGAATCTGGAAAATTGTATTGCTTCTGGCATCCTGTCTTTGTCCAAATCGTATCTTTTTATTTTATTTATTTTTATTTTTTAATTTTTTTGAGAGAGAGCATGATGGGGGGGCAGAGGGAGAGAGAACGAATCATAAGCAGGCTCCCCACTGAATGCAGAGCCAGACACGGGGCTTGACTTCACAACCCTGAGTTTATGACCTGAGCTGAAATTAAGAGTCGGATGCTTAACTGACTGAGCCACCCAGATGTCCCAGTATTCTAGTTTTAAAAGGCCTTTACTATTAATTGAGTTGAGTATAGAGAAGGAATGTTGGACTATTTACTGCATGCTTAGAAAACAAATATAATTTAAGCAAATGAAAAAGAATTATGGAAGCAGGGCTGGAAGAAACTTCATTCAGTATATATTTGAATGCACCATAGCCACTTGATTAGACTGGGTTACAGAGGTATTGAATAAGACAGAGTTGTTGCCCTCATGAGACTTAATGTCTAATCCTCCTCCCCAGTCTCCACCTCACCTCATTTTATGTTGTGTATTGGAATCTAAAGCTTGAGAGAGCAAGTACTTTCCCCAGGGTTGTGTAGATTGTTACTGGTAGAATGGAACTAGAATGCAAGTTTCTTATGTGGGCAATAAAGGCAAAATATTGATTCATTTATGCACAGTTTTGTATTTATCCCTGTACTAAGTACTGGAAGATAGGGTGGTAAGTAGAAGGGCACATTTTTTTGATGTAGAGCTTCAAAGGAATTTTTTTGGGGGGAGAATCCAGAATGTTTTCTACTATGTTGCATTATACTATTTACAGTCTTTAATCTAATAGGAAGGTTAGGGGCTCTCATATATGATTCTTCAGTGTGACTGAGTTCAATAAGTTTAGTGTTTTTCTGACACCTAAAGTCCGTTTTATTGAAGTACTGGGACTTTTGCATGAGGAAGGAAGAATGAAGTAGTTATGGATTCTCTGTGGGAAGGGACCTTTATTTATTTCAAAATTTGTATAGAGTCTAAACTTTTGCCCTATGAGTAAGAAAGAACCTTTTTTCTTTTCAATGGCTGTGCTATCAGAGGTCTCAGTGGTCATAGAATCACATCTAAAGCAGAACACATATTTATTCTTTAAAATTTCTTCTCAAACTGATTGAGATTATATTTGATTTTTTTTTCCCTCAGTGCTTGTTTGCTAAAAAAAATCAAACATTTGACAGTCTAGGGAAGATGAAAAAGGTTAATTAAACTGTGGCTAAATAATTTAGGATGTTTTAGTTATTTGGTGGCATAGACGATTCAGGCTTTTTTTCCTTAAAATGTCTAATTGGGAATGCTTTTACAATGGAGAATTTTCAGAGTAAGTTATCTTCACCTCAGGCCTCCTTGCTGTTCCTGTTCCAGAGTATCTTCTTCCATTCTGCTGGGACCAATTAGTTCTTGGCTCAGTTGTTTTAGTTTCTCTTTGGAAGGTGAACTTAACCATGTTTATAATCTGTGAACATTAAATTCTCTGCCGGTGATCTAAAACACATTGAATTGGGTATCTTCAAATGCAGATGATTTATTTTCTCCGAATTTGGATCATAGCATTTAAAAATGAAAAGACCTGGGGTGCCTGGGTGGTTCAGTTGGTTGAGTGTCTGACTCTAAATTTTGGATCAGGTCATGATCTCAGAGTCATGATCTCAGGGTCATTAGATGGGGCTTCGTGCTCAGCACAGAGTCTGCTTGAGATTCCTTCTTCTTCCTCTGCCCCTCCCCATGCTTGTGCTCCATAAACAAACAAACAAACTCTTAAAAAAAATGCCTCTTTAAAAAAAATGAAAAGACCTTAGAAACAGTGGTTATTATATATTAGTGATGATTATTCTAGTTCTGTTGCAGGTATAACCACATTTTGAGACACTACAAATTAGTGTTATGTTGTAGAGGAGGTAGTATGACTACCAGTCTCAAATTAATCATTTCAAAAATATTTATAAAATAACTGAAATAATATGCTAATAAGAAGCATGGACTGTGGTATAAATATAGGTGATTTCAAATAACACTTAAAGCTAGAATGGCATACAATTTGAAACATATTGTCACATTTTAATTGTGTATGTGTTAAATCAATCATAAAATATCTTTTACCATGATCAAATCAAATATTTCAGTGTGTTCTGGAGAGAAGGAGGAGGAGCTGGATGAGTGGAAATGTTGTTTGATGTCATTTGGTTAGTATATATGGTGTATATATATAACAAGGCAGGCTAAGTTTGACCTTCCAGCATTTCAGGCTGGGGTCTCCAGGCATGCTGTTGCAGTTATCTATTGCCAAGGAACAAAACTACATCAGACTTGGCACAGAACTCTCAAGGTTCTGGGTGTTGACTAGGCTTATCTAAGTGATTCTTGCACAAGTACTTTCACATACTTGTAGTCTGATGGGTCTTGTGTTCTCTCCTTCTAGACTCACAGGTCTGGCACTTGAGTAAGGAAGTCCAAATAACTAGGATCTGGAATAACTCCTTGAACATCACTATCTCTGTTTCTGTGTAGTCCCCGCAAAAGGGCTTCATAGTAGCCAGAGTTCTTACATTGGAGGCTTAGGGCTCCAAAAGCACTTGTTCTGAATAAGAGAGCCAGAAGGGAGGTGTATTGTCTTTTATGACCTAAATTCAGAATCAGTGTCATTTCTATTGCATTTTATTCATTAGAAGTGAGTCAGTAAGGCCAACCCATATTCAAAGGGAAGGGAATTAGACTCCACCTCTTTCTGGGAAGAGTGTCAAGAATATGCAGACATATTTCAAAGCCACTTTGGTTGTTCTTCCTGCCACAGATTATTCACATTACTCCGAAGTGCAAAACACACTTACCCCTTCTCAGAGGGGTCATTTTTTTTTTTTTTAATATGGAACACTTCACGAATTTGAGAATTTGTGTGTCATCCTTGTGCGGGGGCCATGCTAATCTTTCTCTGTATTGTTCCAATTTTAGTATATGTGCTGCCAGAGCAAGCACAGAGGGGTCTTACCTGCAACATCATCATGCTCAGGCTTGAGGTCTAGGATCTTGTCATCTAAATCAGATCCAGGTGCAGGTTAGGCTATTTGGATATTGTTCCTTGCATATAGCTCCCGGGGTACCGTTACTTTCACTTTGAAGACCTGTAAGCTAAAGAGATATGTTATCTCTCCCTAGCCCACCCAGTATGCAACAGTGGACAGGCGTAAGATAACCACTATGGACATTGCTGTTAAAAAATAAAAATGTAAGGAACAGAATAGTTGTTGGTCCACAGCAAATCTGAAATCCAGCCAGGCCCATATCATCACTTCTGTGATTAGGGCTCGGCTATATTGCCTAGGAACCATCCTTCGTAGCTCTTGGTTTTGCCCTCTGGATTAGCCTTCCTATTCCATAAAATGTATCCTTTGTTTGCAGCTGAGTAATTTCCTAAACCATAGGGTTTGAGCATGAAGGGGGTGTTTGTCCCAAAAACCTCTTTTCATTTTGTACTGTCTTGTTTAGTCCAGAATGACAGTGTTTCTCAACATAGAATTTTCTGAATCTTTTTGAGGGGTTTACTCTGTTAGACAAAAGCCACACTTACACAGTGATATAAGCCTTTCTCTACCTTAGGCTCTGTAGAAGAGGAAAAAGTTTTCCTTGACCTCTTAAGATCCCTGGCTGTGTCTGAAAATTAAATTGACAAAGATTAAAAGGATACACATTTATTTAATGTAAGTTTTATGTGACACAGGAGCCTTTATTAGTAAATGAAGACCTGTTTATTTTTTGAGTTTTTATTTTACATTCCAGTTAGTTAACATACAGTGTAATAATAGTTTCAGGTGTACAATATAGTGATTCAGCACTTACATACATCACCCATTGCTCATCACAAGTGCATTCCTTCATCCCCATCACCTATTTCCCCCATCTCCCCACCCGCCTCCCCTCTGGTAACCATCAGTTTGTTTTCTGTACTTAGGAGTCTGATTCTTGGTTTGCCTCTGTTTTTTTCTCCTATGCTCATTTGTTTTGTTTCTTCTTTTTTTTAAAGATTTTATTCATCCATTTGACAGAGAGAGAGAGAACACAAGTAGGCAGAGAGGCAGGCAGAGGGAGAGGGAGAAGCAGACTCTTCATGGAGCAGGGAGCCCGACGTGGGGCTCGATCCTAGGACCCTGGGATCATGACCCGAGCTGAAGGCAGCCGCTTACCCGACTGAGCCACCCAGGTGCCCCTTGTTTCTTAAATTCCACATATGAGTGAAGTCATGTGGTATTTGTCTTTCTCTGAGTGACTTATTTTACTTAGCTTAATGCTCTCTAACTCCAACCACATCGTTGCAAATGGCAAGATTTCATTCCTTTTTATGGCTGAGAAATATTCCAGTGTGTGTGTGTGTGTGTGTGTGTGTGTGTGTGTGTGTGTGTGTGTGTGT